TTTAAGGGTCTCGCGTGGATATGGGAAGGAGGTTGCGAAATTGGGTGGGGAAATTTGCCTGGGGACGTCGGCGATCGGAGCGGCTCGAATCGCTAGTTTCGCTGAACGGTCTCCCACCGTCGTTGCCTCTCGCGCGGCGCAGGGTCGGTCATCGGTGGGCCGAGGCACCCGACAGGCATGGTTGTCGATGACCGCCGCGGCGGAGCCTTGCGCGCTAGCTCGCGATATGCCCCCCTGGCTGGCGCAGGCGCCAGCTCGCGATATGTTCGCCACATCAGCCTAAGATGGGTCGTGAATTCGTCGGGCATGGAGCCGGCAAGTCGCATCCTCTTCCATTCCTCGAATACCAGTTGGAATCCGTGTCCGACCTGTAGCCTGCGCTGGGGTAGCGGTGCCCTGTGACCCCGTCGAACTTGGCAGCGGCGGCGGCCGTCGCGCGCGCTCTGCGTCGCCCACTCGCTACCGCCGCCCTTAAACTTGGAGCTGCTCGGATACTTAATCTGTCGGAACGGTGCCGTAGCAGGTCCTTTTGTTCTGTCGGGGCCTCGTTGCGCGCCCGTCTGATTACTTCGAATGGCGGTTGGAGCGGGCGTTCGCCCCGTTGCAGCGGGTCTCGCTGGTCCGGGTCGGACGCGCGCAGCGGTGCTCCAAACTCGCCGCGCGCGGCGCGGTCTTGTCCTCGCCCATCGCCGCGTTGACGCCGCCAGACGGAGCAGGTCGGGTCTTCACCCGCATCGGCTGCGTCGTCGCCAGCGGCACGGTCGGCTGGTGCGCTGGCGCCATGTGCTACCGCAGCGCTGACGCGTGGTTCGCGTTGGTCGACGGTCGCCCTGCTCGTCCGTCGCGCACTCGAACATCTTGCGGGCGGAGCTGGGCGCACGCGCGCTGGCGGCGACGATGGGCCCCCCACGAGCACCAGCGAAACGAATCTGTGGGCCGATCACTCGCGGCGCCATCTGCTCGGTCGGAGCGACGCCGCCGTTCCCCCTCGCAATTGGCGGCGGGGTGTCGATCGAGGTGACCTCGGGCGTCGATAGGTCAAGTTGAACTGGGGGCATGAAGTCGCCGGTCCGCTCGGCGGGCGCAAGACAATCCTGCTCGTTGCTCGGAACGTGCATCGCCCGCGGTGCCTTCGACGCACGTCGTTGACCTCGTCGGGGTAGAGACGTGGTACATGGCTTGCTCGTGCACGACGGGTTGCGATGGAGCTGCCGCGTCCGCGTCCAACCTCCCTGGAGATGTCGTCGGACTGCGACTGCGCGGGCTGCGCCACCCCGCCCTCGCGCGGACGTTGCAGCGCGGGCTGCGCCGGGTGGGCGCTGATGCGAGTCTGCGTCGTCCGGAACGATGTCCGCGTTGAAGGCCTGTTGGAGGCCGCTTCCTACCTCTGCGATGTTCAGGCGCGAGCGGGCCTCTTCGGTTGCATCCACGGTGCGCCCTTCGCGGGTGGTCGCCATGTTCCTCCATTGGGCATCCTCTTGGCGGTGAATGCTTATCTCTCATTGCAGTGCGCGGCGTCGCCCCGCCGCGCCAGCGCGCGCCCTCTGTTCCACGAGTTGCGCCCGCATCGGCGGGCGTTCTTCGCGGGGGGGGGGGCCCTCGCTGACGAGCGCGCCCAGCGCCTCTGGTAATGGGGGGGCGACCCGCGCGGGTAAACCGTCGTCGACGCCCCGCTCGCGCGCGTTGGGCGGCGGCATCCACGCGCGCCCCCGTCTGCTTTAATCGTTCACATGACAGTGGGCCCCCTTTCCCCGCGTCGCCCCGCTCGCTGCGCGCAAGGGCGTGGCCGCAGCGATCCTCGGCGCGCCCCTCTGCCGCCCTTGTTTCCACGCGGGGGGGGGGGGGCGCGCTGCTCGGCCCCCATTGTCGCGATGATATAGTTTTGTCGTTCGTCCTCAATATATGCCGTCTCTCTTATCTGCTGCTCCGTGACGGCGCGGTCGTCGCCATTGAAGACGAATTCCTGCCGCGCCCCGCGCGTTGGAGTTCCTTCTTTGGCTTCTCAGTCAACGGTGCGCGCTGGATGTGGCCAATGGCCCTGGTCTCCCGCGGGGCCTCCTCCAGCTCCTACTCGGCCCTTTTCGAGCACCGCCCCCCCCCCCCCTCCCCGCGCCTGCGCGCGCTCGTGGCGGAGCGCCGCGTTCTCGATTGCCTGCTTGGCGCCCTGGATCTCGCGAGGGAGCTCGCAGCGAGACCCTCGCGCCATGGTTGCTTCTAAATGGCGGGCGCGTTGGCGCGTTGTTTAACGGCTTCGCCCGGCTTGCGGAGGCGGCGCTTTCTGTCCTGAACCTCGTTGTTGGCGTCGGCCCTGTCCTTCTTAATGTCGCAGCCCATGCGTTGGTTGTCCTCCTGGTGATTCCTGGGCAATGTGCCGACGTCTTGACCTCCTGTAGTCCCCCCAACCCTTTTCTGCATCCGTGGCGCCAGGTTGGGGATCATCTCTCGCGGCGCCTCGCGCGGCGTTATCGTCATCGGTGGCCTCGCCGTCGCTGCGCGGGCCCCCCATTGGCGTTGCTGGTGCCCCGCTGGGGGGGATAACCTCCTCGATATTGTTGTCTAGCTCGCTCATGTAATCGGGTGTTTTTGGAACTGGGCCTCGGCGTGCTCTTGGAAGTCCTACACGGTCTGCTTCATTGCGTCGATATCCTTAGTTTGTTGGGCGAGGAGAATGGCCTTTATGAAGACGGTATGCGCGACAGCGTCTGCCGTTGATCGTCCTGCTGTACCAGTGTTGGCGATTGCCGTTACTGACCGCCTCATTTCGGTGCGCTCGATCGTCTTCCAGTCTTCCCTCTGTTAGGGGCGGCTGGGTGGCAGCTCCCCGTCGTGCCTTCTGGTCGCGTAGACCTTCCTCGTGGGCATGACGTTGCTGATTGCGTTGGCGACGTGGTCGTTGCAGTTATGTGTCGTCCTTCTCTTCGGTCTCCATTTATCCATCTGGTTGGCGATTTGTCTTGCCCTAACCCTGTTGAACTGATCAGTGCCTTTCGGGGTCCAGTAGCGGGGCCCGCCGTCGTCCATCGCGGGTCTTTCCTTTTGCCGTTGCAATTGTCACCCTCGACATTGTGGCTGTTGTCGTTGTGGCTGCGGTTGTGGCCCAAAATCTTGCCAGGTTGTTCCTTGCCCCACTGGTCCGTCGAATTGTTTTTCTTCCAGCGTGCGAAGCCCGCGTGTCCGTTCGAAGCCCGATCTCGGCGTGGTTGGCCAGCTTTTCGTGGGCGGTTCGGTGTCGACCTTTATGGTGGCAGTGCCGTTCCTGATGCACTCGGAATTGCACTCCATGGTTTCGCCACGGTTAGATCTCGGCGTGGGTGTCGGGGTGGTTTCTGGGCGCTACGGCGCGCGGCAAATAGCTGGCGTGCTGTGCAGGAGCTGGTGCTGGATGTCGTGGTCAAGTTACTACCGCGCAGTAGCGAATAGTCGTAAAAACGCGCGTTTGTTCGCGTAGCCGACGATACCACGCTGGATTGGCTGAGGTCGCAGCCGTGGTGTCTCCACCTGGCAGGTAACCTGAGGATGTTGCCGGCAAGGGAATGTAAGGGCATGGCTCGTCAGGGATATAAGAGTTGTACATGAAGTGGGGGATGTAGATAAGGATGGTACGTGGGGAAAACACATATCGGTCGAGGCTGGCCACGTAGGGCAGGCGCGCTGTCACGTTTCCTGGGCAACGTGGCGATCCTCCACCTCCTCCTCTTCCTCCTCCTCATCCGCCACCTTTTCCTCATCCACCTCCCCGCCGTTGGCTTCTGACACCTTGCGGACCCCTCTACTTCGCATGCTCGGCAGCTTCCTGATCACAATATGCTCGGTATTGGCAGGGTGTGAGCCACAAGTGGCGCTCAGTCCTGAACGCCCACGGCGTTGTCGACACCGCGTCGACACGACGCAGACCCGACATACCCCGAATCACGCCAGAAGTCTACGAGGGGGCGGAGTGGGGTCATGGATAAAACGTCCAGCCTCTGGACGTCAGGATGATCCCCCCATGACATAGGCGTTGCCTGAAAGGGTGCTTACTTCTTTTCGCAGAAACCGTGGGTACATGGCCCTTGCCGGCTGTCTTTCCTGGGGATTGCTTGGTCGTGCTCACTGCATTCCTTGGGTACCTTGGGTTTGTTCCTTGACTACATTCACTCCTCGAGTTGCTTGGTCGTGGATCTTTACATATACAAGCAACGACACGCAACGCCGAGCAACGCAAAGCAATGCCAAGCAACGCCAAGCAAAACCAACAAACGCCAAGCAACGCCTAGCAATACCAATCAATGCCAGGAAACGCCAAGCAACACCAACTAATGCAACTCAACGCCACGCAACGCCAAGCAACGCCGGGCAACGCCACGTAACGCCAAGCAGCGCCGAGCGATGCCAAGCAACATCCAACAGTGCCCAGCAACGCTACGCGATGCAAAGCGCTGCCCGCATTCCTTTGCTATTGACTCTGGACGTCCCCCCCTTAGTGGGGGGGCAGCAGCCGTGGAACGGATCCGACGTCGATGCCCGGAGGCGACCGCGCGAGGGCAGACGGTGCCAGCGCCCGAACCGCGGAGCCACAGCAGCGGCCACCGTTGGGGGACCCCATGCGAACCCCGACCCCTGCCCCGGGCGTCGGACGCGGCGCACTCTTGCTTCTTATGCTGTGGGAGGGCGGGTGGGAGTGGACGGAGCCCTCTGCCTCGTTCGAGCTGGCTAACTTGACCCCGCCCCTACCCCCCCTCCCCGAGCGAAGTGAACCCCGCCCTCCCCCTCAGAAGTCGTGGGGGACAGGGATAGGGTTCGCATGTGGCCCCCGACCCGTCCGGGCGCGCGGGCCACGGCCAGGCAGCCCACAAAGGACGTACGCGCCCAACCATGTACGTGAACACGGCCCCTGGATCCGCGAGACCGTCCGCGTGATACGAACATTCGCGCAACGCAAACTCTAAACCAGCGCGGGTTCGTGAACGTGTGCGTCCTTCTGTCGCTCCTGAACGGTGGCCACCGGCCCCGATCACAGCTCATCCTTCCCGCGGGTGCCCGCGATGATGCTCGGAGGGGGGCCGGTGGAGACCTCGGCGGCCCTCGCTGTGTGGGCGACTCTCGTCCTCCCTGGGCCCCCTCTGGAGGCCCCTCGTCGCCACGGCCTGACCTGCCGGGAGAAGCCTGGCGGGGCTGAAGCCCGGGAGGGGCCCGAGGGTCGATTTCGAGGGCACTCGGGCCAACAGAGAACGAAAAACACACACACACACGCGCAAACAGAAACTTCTGGCGCTCCGCGCGGGCTTCTCGGATTTGCGCTGGACCGCTCGCCAGGGGCGGCGCCAGAGGCGCCGCCGGGGGGGCCCAGGCGCGGATCCACGAAATCCGCGCGGAGCGCCAAGAGTGCATGTTTGCGTGCCTCTTTCTTCTTCGAGCCAAGCGGGGGGGAGCCGCCGCTGTCTCGGCTGGCCCTCCTCCGAGATGTCGAAGGCCTGCGAGGCGGAGGCCGTCGCCGTGTACGAGCCCACGGGCAGCGCGGCAGGATCGGGGCTGGCCGCGAGGCGGGCGACGAACCGGTGCCCCGGGTGCGTGTCCAAGTTCTCCGACTCGCCGGCCTGAAAAACAGGGCTAGGATCGGGATAAGCCGATCCAGAGCGTTCCGGAGCGCTCTCAGAGCGTTCCGGAACGCTCTGGAGCGGCCGCGGCGCCCAACACATCCTCCAAACCCGCCGATTCTCAGAGATTTCGAGTCATCCCGATCCGATTTTGTCCCGATCTTCGCGTCGTTTGAGGCCTTCAGCTCGATCAGCCGGACCTCCTCCCCGGTCGTCGGGTGCACCCAGAACACCTCCGCGGTCTCCGGCAGCCGGTTCCGGACGTGCAGCTTGGGCCCCGGGGGCGGGGCGTCCGAGGGCTGGATGTACCCGGCGAGCATGTCGGCAAAGGCGATGCCCGTGCAGCCGAGCTGCCAGAAGCGCTTGGCCGCAGCCGCGCCGTGGCGTGGCTTGAGGCATGCCGTCGGGTCCCCTGCTTGCCTGCTGAGGAGCTGTGGCTCAGGCCCCCTTGGCAGGCATCGTGGCCAGCATGCGCCCATTGCGGACTCCGTGCTGTCTGGCTGCGCGCCTTTCTGGGGAGGGACTGGAACCGAACCGAGCCGATCCGCCCGAGCCGAACCGGGCCAAACCGAACCGGTGTGAACCGGGCGTTTTTCAAACCCGAGACGGACCGAACCGATCGTCAACCCGAAGCAACTCGGTCGCGGTGCGAGCCCGCACCAGGCGGAACCAAACCAAACCCGCGTGCTTCATTCCCCACCCCCTACAGTAGGTGGCCCGACCACAAGAAACCTTCCACAAGAAACCAAATCCTGAGGCCCCAGGACGTCCATTCATTTTGGTGTGGGACGTTCGCAAAGCCATCGAAACTCAAGAAACCCAGGGCACTCTGGCGGCAAGCAGGGTGTTCCTTGGCATGGGTCTCCACTGTACTCCTCGCGGCTCCGCGCAAGAGCGACCCCAAGCAAGGGTGGCCTTTGGTACACGGCTTGCCGACCACTGCGTGCGATGCGACAGTGGCGGCCTGATTGTGTGCTGGGTCTGCCCCCGCCCCCCCCCCCCGCGCCTCCCGAACGCCCCGCACCAACGGCTGCGTGCAGCCGACATCCTCGGAGCGCCCTCCCGGCAGCATCGTTTCGGGGTGTCCCTCGTGGGGGGGGTCTGTCGGGAATCCTGTCCTGACCTTCCAGAGTGCCAGAGAGCAGCCCGCCAGACGAATAGACCTGACAAGACTGTTCCCTTAGAAGTTCGACTAGTTCGACTGGAATCGGGGATCTACCGACGCGGGTCAGTCCAGAACTGGGTCAGTCGGGCATTGCATGCTCCTGCAAGATCCAACAGGATCCTGCAGGATTCTCGGAGTCAATGCTCCCCCTGGCTCTGCAGGATCCTGCATGATCCGGAGCCCTGCTTTCCCCCCATCTCTTCAGCCCCTCTTGTCTGACGGGCCTGTTTTCCACCACCACCACCACCACCATACCTGGACGCCCGAAATGGGTACGGAAAAAGTTGGTACAATGCCCAACAGCAAAGGTTGTCCAAAACCAACAGCGGCCGCTGTTGGGCAGGCGGCCTTCTGTCTCAAATAGGCACAGGCCGCGGCGGCGCGGACGGCGAGTCCTGTTCAGAATGAACAGGAACTGCTGTTGGGCATTGTACCCATTCTTTCCGTTACCGGTGTCGGTCGGCCCGACCAGAAGTTGGAGGAGGAGGAGGAGGAGGAGGAGGAGGTGGAGGAGGAGGAAGAGAGGGAGGAGGAGGAGGAGGAGGAGGAGGAGGAAGACAGGGAGGTGAAGGACCCCCTCCCCCTCCAACTTCTGGTGGTGGTGGTGGCAAACAGGCCCCTCCTGCCCCCGCGCCAGAACGCATCCGGCGCTGGCGGCGGCGCCCCTGCCGGCGGGTGCTCGACGCCCAAGCGGCCGACTTCGTGAGGCCCCGGAGCTGCCTCCCGGCCCCCCTGGGAAGCCAAGGCCGGGCCCTCCTCCGGGAGGGGAAGATGGCCGGAGCTGTCTCCCGGCCCCCCTGGGAAGCCAAGGCCGGGCCCTCCTCCGGGAGGGGAAGACAGCTGCTCGCGCGCTCAGGTTCTAGCTGGGCTTCGCGGTCGAACTTGGAGGAACTCCCCCCCCCTTCCCCGGGCAACTCGAGGCGCCCTGGACATGGATGGAACTGCGGTCCCGTGGAGGCTCGATGCTCACACATGTCCAGTGCACCTCGGCCTCGTGGGGCCCCCTCGACGGGGGCATTCCCGGACCCTCTCGCGCTGTCGGGGAGTCGGGGGGTCGGGGCGTCGGCCAGCCGGGCAGGCGGAGTCGGCCAGACACAGGAAGGGGGCGTCGGATTGTGACTCCCGCGGCGGGTCCAGGGCCAGACCGGCGTGGTCTCGGCTTCGAGTCGGGGGTTGACCACAGAACTGAGTTATCCCGAGCTGGATTTTCCCGATCGAATACGACTACGAATACGTGGAACTGCCATACGTTAGGTCGGGCCTGTCCCCCTACAGGCCGATTCTGGACGAAACAATAAAAAATACCAGACTAATACAGTAAAACATTGTCCCAAGACTATGTTTTGACTATGTTTGACTGCTCCCCCTGTAGAGGGACAGGCCCGACTGAAAGTTATCCCGAGATTGACTCTCCCGATCGAATATGCGACAAAGACGTGGAACCGCCATACAAACCTACTGGGGATGCAACCCCAAGCCCCGATGTCGTGACTCTTGCGCAGCCAACAAGACCTCTGGAGGCCGCGCCCCCCTCCGTGGGCACCGGCGTGTGGTCCCGAGTCGTTGCTCGGCGGTCCCGGAGCCTGGCAGCGATGAGGGACGAGAGGGAGGGACTGGCTCAGGTTGGGCGCGAGGCAACTAGGGGGAGAACAGACCTGCCTCGCTTTTGACCACCCTCGCTTCCAAGATATACCAAGCGATGCCAAACGACGGCCAGTACGGGTCAGGCCGCTCGACTAGGAGGCGCGTGGTATGACTTGGTTTTGCCTGGAAGCGAGAGCGGGGCAGGTAATTCACGCTCTGAGTATCGGGGGGCGATGCATGATGGCGGGGCGGGGGAGGAGAAAGGTGCCCCTCTCGAGCCCTAAGGCCCCCCTCTGGCCCTGAAAAGGGGCCCTCTTCTGGGGCCCTAGGGGGGCGGGTGAGGAGAAAGGTGCCCCTCTCGAGCCCGAAGGGCCCCCTCTGGCCCTAAAGAGGGGCCCTCTTCTGGGGCCCAAGGGGGGCGGGTGAGGAGAAAGGTGCCCCTCTCGAGCCCGAAGGGCCCCCTCTGGCCCTAAAGAGGGGCCCTCTTCTGGGGCCCAAGGGGGGGGGGGGGAGGAGAAAGGTGCCCCACTCGAGCCCGAAGGGCCCCCTCTGGCCCTAAAAAGGGACCCTCTTCTGGGGCCCCTAGGGGGGGCGGGGGAGGAGGGGAAAGGTGCCCCTCTCGAGCCCTAAGGGCCCCATCTGGCCCTGAAAAGGGGCCCTCTTCTGGGGGCCCAGGGGGGGGGGGAGGAGAAAGGTGCCCCTCTCGAGCCCTATAAGGGCCCCCTCTGGCCCCGAAAAGGGGCCCCTTCTGGGGCCCTGGGGGGGGGGGGGGGAGGAGAAAGGTAACCCTCTCGAGCCCTATAAGGGCCCCCTCTGGCCCTGAAAAGGGGCCCCGTCTGGGGCCCCAGAGGGGAGGAAGGTAACCCTCTCGAGCCCTAAGGGGGAGGAGAAAGGTAACCCTCTCGAGCCCTGATGGGGGGGGGGGAAGAGAAAGGTGCCCCTCTCGAGCCCTATAAGGGCCCCCTCTGGCCCTGAAAAAGGGGGCCCTCTTCTGGGGCCCCCAGGGGGGCCCCTTCCCTGCGGCCCTCGCTGCCCCTCCACTACTCTCTTGCCCCCCATTCAACAGGAGAGGAGCATTGCAGGGGCCCTGAGACACACAAATAAATACACACAAATAAAGAGATTCCCCATAGTTTCCTATATTTTCTGGGTTTCTGCCTTCCCCCCCACTTCCCATATTTTCCCACATTTTCTGAGGAATCGAGGATTAATTGTCTCTGTGTGTTTTTTCCCCTCCTGATTCCCTACCTAGGCTCTGCCTAGAAGGGTTCTTACTCTCTTAGCTAAAAGGGCCGGGCAATGGAAACCGCCCCGGGCGGATCCCCCGGTCCCCGCCCCGCGGTTCCCCCAGTCCCCTGGGAGCTTTAGCCTTAGCTTTAGCTTCAGCTTAGCTTTAGCTTTAGCTTAGCTTTAGCTTAGCTTTAGCTTAGCTTCAGCTTAGCTTCAGCTTAGCTTTAGCTGAGCTTTAGCTTAGCTTGCGCTTAGTGTTTGCTTAGCTGTAGCTTAGATTTAGCTTAGTTTTAGCTTAGCGTCAGCTTAGCTTTAGCTTAGCTTTAGCTTAGTGTCAGCTTAGCCTTAGCTTCGCTCTACTTAGTTTTAGCTTAGCTGTAGCTTAGCTGTAGCTTAGCTTCAGCTTAGCTTCAGCGTAGTGCTAGCTTAGCTTTAGTTTAGCGAT